CCCAGCAATTCAGTCCCTCAGGGAGTTCGGATGTGTCTGTGGGGCTTCCATGACCTTTCCTTGTACAACTTGTGCAGGTACTTGTTCAGGTGGCTCTCGTCATGCCACACGGCCTCAATGTGATTGGCTTGGTCCACCATCATCGCCTGGTGACAGGCCTTGGTGAGCCTGTGCACCTCTATCACTGAGCCCCCAAAAAAGCCACCGGCCTAGTAGAAATCACCTTCATCTCTTGGAATGTAGGCCTGAGACAATGGGCGGCGTTCATACGTGAAGGCCTGGCGATTGGCAACAAAGAAGCCAGGGTGGAGAGTGCCGAACAAGGAGGAGAGGATCTCCACGCCCACGTGGTCACTGAACTTCATGTCCACGTCTAAACACACCAGGTAGTCCACCTCATGCAGGAAGCGCTGCTCGGAGAAGTTGCTGATCATCTCCATGGGTGCATGGACATGTCCTGCCAGCTGGTGTAGTTGCGGATATTGAGGACCACCACCTGCCGGTCTTCCTGGAGGGGGACATGCGGGATGTCAGCTGGTCGGTCAGTGAAGACGTAGTAGTTGACCTTGTGTCCCACCCTGAAGTACTTCTCTGCAGTCTCCAGGAACAGCTTCAGGAAGACCACGTACCCAAGACCAGGAAAGAGAGGGTGAGAGTTAGACAGAGTGAACAGCAGCAAAAGAAGGAGTCTTAGATGAAACTGGCTCGTAAAATGGTAGCCATTCTACTCGCTACAGACGATGTGGCCCAACTGTACTGGGCATATGCAAGGACATTCAAATTTGCCTGGTGTTGAACAAATACTCACAGTAACAGGATATTTCATTTAGCCATAAGGTTTGCAAAATTTGAAAAAGTTGATAATATCCAATGTTACTCCATAGCTCTAGACCCTCCAACAGCTTTGTGTCTCTTAAGAAAAGAACAGAAAAAAAGCCATTTGAGGCCCTATAGTGGTCTACCAGGTCCTACACGGTTGGTTCTGACCTCTTTCCCTTCTCCTCAATCCCTCTGCTCTTGGCAGTCAACTCCTTGATGATCACGACACAGGCTACACCTGCTCCAGGCCCTTTGCACTTTCTGTTCCCTCTGCCTGGAAGCCGTTCCCTGTAACACTCATCCCTACAGCTTTCATTCTTCTGCTCACAATCAATGCACCAAGAGAAGACCTGCTGATTCAAGCCGTGGGCTGCAGGCACTCTATAGCTCCTTCTGCAAGTTCTCACGCAGAAGTGTGCAGATGTGACAATTCAGCAAGCTCTTGTGCTCAGATGTGTGTATTTCCCTATGTGAAAACTATAACTCAATAAAAAAGAAAAAAAACGAGCAAACAGACACATACTTCAATAAATAATAACACAAGTCACTCTGTAGCTCGTTATTCCACCTTCGTTATGTTTTTAAACATATGTGTTTACCTGTTCTTCTGTCTTTTGGGGCTAGAATATAGCTGCACAAAAGCAGGAACTTTATGCGTTTTGCTGACTGCCTTCTCCCCATCATCTGGCACATAATAGCTGTTTAATAAATATGTTTTAAACAAGTGAGTAAGTGAAAAATTCAATGAGGCTGAGAACGCTGGAACGGAGGACTCTCATGCCCTGCTAATGGGAATGTCAATTGTTTTAACCCTTTGGGAGGCCACTGTGAGAAACCCTGTCTAGGTCTTGAATGTGCATATCCTTCCCCCAACTCCACTTCCAGGCATACACCCCACAGGCCTACTCACAAACGTGTACAAAGACACAAGTATACAAGTTTACAGGCCACTAACGTCAGCAAACATTGGTAAGCATGTGAGCAACTACAATTCCCAGCTATTGTTGGTGGAACTGTAAAATGCTACAGTCAACTTGGAAAAAGGCCTGGCAATGGTTTTTGTTTTGTTTTTTAAATAAAACTAAACACACATGTAATCTTTGACTGAGCAATGCCACTCCTAAGTCTTTAACCAAGAATAAATGTAACACATAACCACACAAAACACTTGTCCAACAATACTCATAGAGGCTTACTCATAATAGCCAAAACTGGAAAAAACCCAGGTGTCCATCAAAAGAAGAATGGATAAACAAGCTTCAGTATACCACACAATGGGATACTACTCAGCAAAAAAAAAAAAAAGAAAGGCTACTGATCCATGCAAAATCATGATGAATCTCAAAATAATTATGCTAAGTGAGAGAAGGCTACCACAAAAGAGTACAGGCTTCATGATCCCAGTAGGTAAAAAACATCTCATGGTGGAGAAAAATCAGAACAGTAGTTGCCACTGAGGAAGTAGGGGGCAGGGACCTACTGGGAAGGGTCAAGGGGATCTTTCTGGGGGCGATGGTGATTTCCTATGGGTTGATAGGGATTTCTGTTACACAGCTGTAAGCGTTTGTCAAAACTCAGCAAACAGAGAATTAAGATATTGCTCTTCATTGTACATTTAACTTTCAGAGAAGGAACACTGTAAACATCCACCGAATTCTAGTTAAGGATTTGCACACCGACATATTTTGGGGAAAGTGTGCTATAGTCAGAGTCCCTGGGTGGTGCAATTGTTAACACACTCAGCTGCTAACTGATTGGTTGGAGACTGGAGTCCATCCAGAGGCACTTGATCTTTTTTTGGAAGTAGATCATCAGGCTTTCAGAAAGGCCTGACGATCTACTCTCAAAAAATCAGCCATTGAAAACCCTATGGAGCACAGTTCTACTCTGACACACATGGGGTCACCATGAGTTGGAACTGATGGGAGGACAACTGGTTGGTTCTGGTGTCTGGCTAAGCCTCAGTTTGCCTGCCAGTTTGGATGAGGTAGGGAGCACCCCTTATTGGCTGTGTTTAGATGAAGCTCCCAGCACACAGACTGGGACAGCTAAGTGTCGTTGGCCTCACGTCCCCGCAGAGGAAGCTGCCTGGTGACTTCGGGTAGAGGGGCTGCTGTTTGAGCGAGGGCCTACCTGGGCCGTGGAGATCCCAGCACGTCCACCTACTGCAGAGCCGCTCTGCCTCCTCCCTCCATGGTGAGCCAGCACCTGGACTGGAAAAGGGCGGCACAAAGGAGCCTCCCGCCCACTCCAGGACCCTTCCTCGTTCTCCCCTTTCCTCCTCCGCCACCCGAGCACTTACTTTTTGATGGCAAACACAGTCAGCCGCATGGTGGTGTTTCTGAACTGCATGTCCAGGATGGCAGCGTCAAAGGTCCCGTCCCAGATGATGGGGGCAGACCAGGGAGTGGTGACCAGCACGTCCGTCCTCCTGTGTGGACAAACCAGAGCGCACTAGAGCAGACAGGGGGAAAGGCGGCCACAGGGAGAAAGGTTTGTACAAAGGGACTCAGCGGTCAGTAGTCGGCTTAGAGTAGACACGGGTCTCCAGACTCTCAATTCAGTGTTCTCTCCACTACCAGCTCAGAGGCTGAGACCCCACAGAACAGATAACTCATCTCTCCCCTCCCGCTTCTCTGGCTCGGGCTGAGAAACCTTGGTGCTGTACCGTGGCGCGTCCCTGAGTACCAGCCCTGTGCTGGATCCCACGGTCTGTCAGGCAGGCCGGGGCTTGCCTCCCGACCGGCCCCTCACCAGCTGTAGGACCTTAGGTAGATTCCTTTACCTCTCTGAGCTTCAGTTTCCCCACCCGTAAAATGAGGACTGATCAGGTGGTCACTAAGCATCCTCCCACACTGAAGCTCTGGGGTACAGTGAGGCTGGGAGGAGCCCTTTTGCACACACAGCTTGGCTACTCTGATCTCTGCTTCACTTGGCTTTCTAGGTACCATGGCAACGGGCTGCTGTACCCTCTCTGGGGCAGTGGAAGCAGGAGGTGTGGGCTAGGGCCCAGATATGGGCAGTGGGTAAAGAGGCCTGGAGGTGGAGACAGCCATCTGTGCAGAGAGGGCTTTGGAACCACCGTCTTCCAGACACTCGCACCACGGAAAGACCTCGGAGGGGATCCATCCCAGACCCCTATGTCCTGCTGTCCTGCCCCAGGAGAAAATGAGAAGAGTGTCTATCACTGGTGTGGGCAGCCACACAGCTCCTAATGATGAAGCAGGTCCAGGCCAGGTCTCCTGCCTCTGATTCCGGCACCTTCCATCACCCCCTTGAGTCGGACCAAACCCACTGAACTAATTTGCTTGTTTATGCCTATAGCTGTGAGAGAAAGAAAAGGGAAAAGGCCAAGGGAAGCCCATGAGGCAGGGAGAGCACGAGAGAGAGCACACATGACGTAGGTGTGACAGGGACCCACCCAGCTCTCACAGAAGTCCCTGCTCACGTGGGCTTGAGGAGCTGGGGTTTGGGGTAGATAATCCTGTGGAGAAGAACACCAGGGCTGGTCCACACCCACCCCGACCATGTGCCCAGCTCCACCTCGCCTCCATCCCACCTCCATCTGTGCTGTCTCCTTTGTCCTCCACACCCCCACCACCCCCAACCATGCCATGTAGGTTGCACCTGAACTGAGGACTGAGAAGCAGGGATCCCAGTACACCACAGATAAGACCCCTGACCCGGGGCAGCCAGGTGACCCGGGAGTTCGCTGGAGCTCGCCTGTGCCCATCACCATCCAATGCTTACTCCCATTCTTTTCTTTCCTCATGGCCCTCCCCCACTTCCCTTGCTTCTTCACTTTCTATGAATCAGGCCCTGGAGGGGCTAAAAAGAGGCCTGCAGGAGGAGGGGCATTGTGACTTGCTGGGAAATCGGCACAGAAACACCCCAAAGATATGGTCCACAATACCTGGGTACTTTGGGCACTCTGCAGGCATCCATGTGGCCGTCACTTGCACTGAAGAAGTAAACGGAGAGTGTTAGAGCCTGGGGTGGGGCCGGGAGAAGCACCACTGTGCTGGACAGCCCAGGTTTCCCCAAGAGCCGGCCGTGCCACAGGCCCACTGACCTGCGAAGCTGGGGCCATGCAGCCCTTCTGCCCTAGCCAGGTGAGCAGACCATGTTTGCAACCTGTTACGGGTTGAACTGTATCCCCAAGAAAGATCTGTTGAAGTCCTAAATCTGCACCTGTGAACATGACCTTGTTTGGGGAAATTGGGTTTTTCTTTGTGATGTGACCGGTTAAATTAATGAGGACACATCAGAGCAGGGTGATCCCACTCCTAATCCCTTCTGCGTGGCAATTTATGAAAGAGGAGGACAGACATGGAAGACAGAGTCACACACATGGGGAAACAGAGACATTTGTGACGACGGAGGCGAATGCATCTCCAAGCAGCCAAGGAACGCCAAGGATTGCCGGGAGCCACCAGAAGCAGGAGAGGGACATGGGACGGTCTTCTCTCAGAATCCCCAGAAGGAATCGACACAGCCGACACCCTGATTCGGACTCCCCACCTCCAGAAGTGTGAGACAGTAAATTCCTGTTCTTTAAGGACGCCGACTTTGTGGTATTCTGTTTGGGTCGCTCCAGGAAACCAAGACAGAGACCACAGCAAAGTAAATCGGGCCGGCTGCGTCTTTATGACCTTGGATTAGGCAAAGATTTATTAGATACAACACCAAAAGGCAGAACTACAAAAGAAAAAATTCATACATTGGACTTGATCAAAATGAAGAACTTTTGCTCTTCAAATGACACTATCAAGAGAATAAAAAGGCAAACCACAAACTTTAGCTTCAAAAAAATAAAAATTATTTCCAATTCACATATCTGTTTTTTTTTTCCTGATCCAATATGTAAAGAGTCATCACACTTACCCTTCCAGCTAGAAAAAGGCTAATAAACCGAAAATCAGCAACTCTTCTTACATCTGTCAGAGAATTGAGATCATAGGGCAAACTTCCTCCCAAAACCTGAAGATACAAGCAGATACAGAAAATTCCAGCTTACCAGGAGCAGAAACCACTGCTGGAACCGACATCAGGTAGGAATGCTTAAGCGTAATTGACTAATTGCTGGAGACAGAGGGTGGAGTTCAAGATATAAAACACCTATGAGGTGCAGTCTTAGGGAGTCTCCCACACTTCATGAGTTTTGCCTTCAGGAGCCCCACCAGGTCCTCACTGTGAAGAGGCGAGAAAAATCCCCTGGTGCTTCCAGCAGGGGGAGAGGACAAGTAACCATTCTGAAATAAGTCCGGATCACTCTGCTCTCCTTGGGTTCACCAGTACTCATGGCTACGTGAATCAAGAGAAGCCTCTATCCTGCCCCACTGACTTGGGAAGTTACAGCCTCTACAACCACGTGAGCCATTTCCTTGATATAATTCTCTCCATATATGTATATTTATACGCTTCACTGGTTTTGCTTCTGTAGAGAATGTAGCCTAAGACAAGCCCCCTCTAGCCTCCCTGTGGTACATAAGGGGTGGGGTGAAAAAGCTGAGAGTCACAAGCCAGGACACACTTACTATAAGAATGAGTCCTATCAGAAAGGATCATAGGATCATAGAATGCTTTTCCTCCCTCTACATCTTACCATCATATCACTAGGGCTCCTGTATAATAAAGAAGACTACAGCTGAGGAGAACTACAGGGCTCAGACCCTATTTAAGGAGTCTCTAGGGAAACCAAAGACAAGAGGAGAGGCAAAACAAGGACGCCAGAGGAAATTTTAGCCTCTGACATCTGCAGCTGCAGCAAACTGCAACAGCCTAACTCCTAACCAGATAACAAATCATATGTCTGATAAAGGAGTTGTATTTAAAATATCTAACAACCTCTCAAACCTCAATTAAGTGAAAACAAACTCTACAATAAAAAAAAAATGGAAGAAGATCTGAACACATACTTCACTGAAAAAGATAGAAGAATAGCAAAAAGAATTTGCGAAAAGATGTTCAACATCGTTAGCCACTGTTGTGGTTGTTGTCGTTAGGTGCCATTGAGTTGGTTTTGACACAGAGCAACCCTATGTACAGTTGAACAAAACACTGCCAGTCCTGCGCCATCCTCACAATCGTTGCTACCTACAGTTGATCCCATTGTTGCAGCCACTGTGTCAATCCATCTCATTGAGGATCTTCCTCTTTTTCACTGACCCTCTACTTTACCAAACATGATGCCCTTCTCCAGGGACTGGTCCCTCCTGACAACATGTCCAAAGAATGTGAGACAAAGTCTCGCCATCCTTGCTTCTAAGGAGCATTCTGACCGTACTTCTTCCAAGACAGATTTGTTACGGAACTTAAAACTAAAATCACAATGAAATACCACTACATATCTATTAGAATTAAAAAGGCTGACCATACAAAATGTTGGCAAGGATGTGGAACAACTGGAACTCTTACAAACTGCCGGTGGGAATGTGGAATTGTATGACTCCTTTGGAAAATAGCTCAGCATTTCCTGCCCAGTCAACCCAAGAGAAATGAAAGTGTATGTCCACACAGACTTGTGTGCAAATGTTCATAGTAGCTTTGTTTGTAATAGCCAAAAACTGGAAACAACCCATACGTCCATCAACAGATTGAATGGATAAACAAATTGGGGTATCTCCATAAAGTGGGACAACAAAAGGAATGAACTATAGAGACCCTCAGCGACATAGATGAATCTCGAAATAATTATGTTGAGTGAAAGCAGTCAGACAAAAGGGAATAATTACTGCATAATAATTACTTTTATATAAGATTATAAAAATACTGACTAATCTGCAGTGACAGAAAGCAGACCAGTGGCTGTCTTGTATGGAAGGGGTAGGGAGGGGTGGAAGGATTACAAAAGATCACAAGGAAACTTTTAGAGGTAATGGCTATGTTCCTTATCTCGCTCATGGTGACAGCTTCACAGATGTGCACAAGTGTTAAAATTTAACTGCACACTTTAAATATCTGTAGTTTATTGTATGTCAATGATTCCTTAATGCTTAGTGCTGCTACAAAAATACCGCACATGGGTGGCTTTAAAGAACTGTTTAAAAAAAAAAGCTACAGTGAGTTGCCATTTCTCACCTTCAGAGGGTGAAAACACCAGCAGCTTGACAACACTCTCCTGGTGAGAATGGGGGAAACAGGCACGTGCATAGCGTGCTGTAGGGCATGCATCCCTAAGGAGGATGAGGTTTTGTTTGTTTTGGGGGGGCGGGGGGCGGACCTTAGATATTACAATGGTTGGTGGGCTTCCAAAGCTCAACCATATATGACAAAATCTTATTCCTTAGGATTTAATTTCTCTTATTAGGGAAAATTGAAGTTTTTTCTTTATGATACCATACCGGGGGAAAAAAAATTGAGAAACACTGGTGTAGGAAGTACAAAAAGATAGAACCCCATGTAAAGCAGGATCTGGCAATATCATATTTACTCAAAGTACAGACTCATTTACCGTAGGTTACCTAGTGCTGCCACAAAAAATACTACAAAAGGGTGGCTTGAAAGAACCCACATCTACTGTCTCACAGTTCAGGAGCTACGAGTCCAAGTCAGGGCATCGCTCTAGGGGAGGGTCCCTCCTCTCGGTAGCCCCGGGCACTCCTTAGCTTGTAGATGGTTCCTCCCGTGGTCTGTTTCCCCGTGTGTGTCTCTCCATGTTTATTTTCCCTTTTTCTAAGACACCCCTCAGAAGGGATTAGCTTTAGGATCCACCCTACTCTGGTCTGAACTCATTAACAAGACAAAAGAAGGCTTTTATTTCCAAACCGCATGGCATTCACAGGTACAAAGGTTGGCTTTCAACATATGTCTTTGGAGACACAATTCAGTCCATAGCACCACCTGACCCAGCAAACCACTTCTGGGAATGTACACTGCATATATGACATATGGACACAGTTATTCATAAAGACTTTGTTTGTAAGAGTAAAAGGCTAGAAACAACCCAAGTGCCCATCAGTATAGAGGGTGGTTACACAAGCTGTGGTAATGAGGTGTTACACAACTGTCAAAAGAACGGGGAGGATCTCCATGCACCCACGTGGAAGGATCTTAGGAGATAAGGTTATGTTAAAAGCAAAGTACAGAACAGTGCAAATAATTTCTACCTACAGCATAAGAAAGGAAGTGAAAGATATACAATCATAATTGTGTATATTTACATGAAAAAAATCACTAAAACGCTGCACAAGAAATGAATAAAAATGGTTATCTAAATGGAGCAGGAACCTGGGAGAGATGTCGCTGGAAATAGGACCAGAGAAACACTTCTCAATGTTTATTTTTTTGGTATCATTTTTATTTTTAAATCATGTTAATGTATTGCTTATCCAAAATAATAAAATTCAATAAAAATATAAATAAACCAGAATAAAATATGGGGAAATATTAGTTTTTAAATACTGAGGAGGGGAAAGCCTTTCTAAGCTTGACAAAAGATTAAAAACAAAACAAACAAAAACCTGGAAAATAAAATTACAGCTCATATCACAAAAAGCCCTAATAATAATAATAGGGCTTTAATACTGCTGTTGTTGTTGTTAGGTGCCATCGAGTCGGTTCCAACTCATAGCAACCTTATGTACAACAAAATGAAACACTGCCCAGTCCTGCACCGTCCTCACAATTGTTGTTATGCTTGAGCCCATTGTTGCAGTCACTGTGTCAATCCATCTCATTGAGGGTCTTCCTCTTTTTCGCTGACCCTCTTCTTTACTAAGCACCATGTCCTTCTCCAGGGACTGACCCCGCCTGATAACATGTCCAAAATATGTGAGACATACTCTCGCCATCCCTGCTTCTAAGGAGCATTCTGGTTGTACTTCTTCCAAGACAGATTTGTTCATTCTTCTGGCAGTCTATGGTATATTCAGTATTCTTCCCCAACACCACAATTCAAAGGCATCAATTCTTCTTCGGTCTTCCTTATTCATTATCCAACTTTCACATGCCTTTGAGGCGATTGAAAACACCATGGCTTGGGTCAGGCGTACCTTGGTCTTCAAGGTGACATCTTTGCTTTTCAACACTATATAGACGTCTTTTACAACAGATTTGTCCAATACAATGTGTCTTTTGATTTCTTGACTG